ATTTTTTTTTTAAAATGCCGAAATTCTGAGACACAACCATCTTAATGGCAAAAAGTCCGCAGACTGACTAAATACCCAGTAAGCTTTGTTAAGAGGCATTTTCAAATAGGAGAATGGGTGGACATGTACGAAATGATAAAAAGCCAACACTAGCTTAAAAGACTGTCTGTCACATATAAGTTGTGCAGAATGTCATCTCTGAATGCACAACACTGGGCACCATTTCTGTGGATTGGTATCGTGGATGTGCAGTCATCACATCTTTAGCAAATTCATCAAGTCAATATGGAGAAATGTTTCAGAGAAATTGTTGAAGATAAGCTATAAAGAGTTTTTTTTAAATAGTAATGTGTGCCTAATAAATTGGCTGTTGAGATTATGTAGCATGTATCAGCCAACACCAATTTTATTTGTAAAGCATATTTCAGTAACAAAGTGCTTCACAACATAAAAGCACAAAAAAAAAAACAACTATTGAAACGTTCCATTTTTCCAAGTGTCATCACATCAAAATGCTGTGAAGCGTTTCATTAATTATGGTACAAAAGCAACTCTAAGCAGTTGAATTTTTAGCCAAGATTTAAAGAAACTCAGTGTTTCACCTGTTTTGCAATTTTCCGAAAGCTTGTCCCAGATTTGTGGTGCATAGAAGCTGAATGCAGCTTGTCATCAGACCAACTCCCCCAGATTTCTTCAAGTTCTCAATGTCGCAACATAAAACGAGAAGACGGTGGAGCACAGTGAAAAATTGCATGTTCTCCATGCACAGGCCAGGGTACTGTCCATGTACTCCTGCTTCCCCCATAAACATGCATGTTGGGCTCACTAGCCAAACGAAGCCACTCTTACTTATGCGTGTGCCTGGTTGGTTGAGATGTGTGCCTCTGTGTTGCCCACAATAACAGCGGCAACACTGCACAGATTAAGCAGTTAAGCTGTAGTAATGGACTCGTGAAACATATTACCAAGCATCATTACGGATTTTACTGATGCAAAAGAGTCTCTTAAAGTTGAACTTGTTTTTCTAGTCTGTGGTGTACATGAACAGGCGGTGGTGGCAAGCTTGCGTAAAAGACAGCAGGGTGAGTCACAGAAAGAAGGAACTATTTCCTCCCTACAAACATCCAGGCATCATCGGATGCACAGTAACAATTGTCTATTGATGAAGGGAGGGTAAAAAAGTTGTGAATTTGTGTATCAACACAGCTCAAGTGTGTAGAGGCAACTCCCACAGCACACATAGTGCACACACAGACCCTGACAGAGAAGGCGACACAATGCAGGGGGAGAAATACAGAGGCAAAAATCCAACAGGAAACTTGTTGAAAATATGAAGCAAAAATATTTCTGTGAGCAAGACATGAGTCACATAAAACACAGTTATGTCTTGGGCTGTCTTAGAGAAAGTGGTGAAATTAAAACCGACATGATCACACAGCTGACGTCACTGAATGAGCTCAGAAACACATGATGATGCAGTGTTTACAACAACACAGGGCTCACAACCGTTGAGGAAAAACATTTACATATTAGCAGCTTCATCAGTCTTTAACAGATGGCTGTATTCACTATTTGCAGAGAAAGTTTTCAATACAATCTGTCATGTAACTGATTTTATTGTAGGCTCTAGTTTCTGGATATTCTTCCTCCTTACTTTCATTCCAGATCTGCTACCCATGATGCTGCCACCTCCAAGTTCCAAAATAGGAGTGGTAGTTGAATTCCTCAAACAAATAGCATTTGATTATATAGGCCAAAAAGTTCAATTTTGCAGTTCTATTAATAAGGCTAAGGCCTGCAGTATAGGTGAAAATAAAGGCATAGAAATATTCCTTTCTATAATGCAACCAACAATTTGCAAACTGGCGCAAATAACCGTGCACTGTTATATTGTACTTTACACACCTGTACTTATGTAGTTGTCCCCATGATGTATTCCAGCCATGTAACAACAAACAAAATGATGATCGTCTACACATCAAAATCTTACGTTTATGACATTTAAACAAACAGAAGGTGAGGGATATTCTTGAACACCACAGGGCCTGCAAGGGAGAACACAACAAGAGAAGATGAGTCAATCAGACCATACTGCACATGATTCACATTGCTTAAAGCTCTCGGTTGCTTAATAACAGCCTGGTGGTTCGTTTGGATCATTCCTTTCATTCCCACTTTTAGACATGTTAGTCATCCCGTCCTGTGTCTAAAATCTAATATGAAAAGGAGAATGCTTAATGAAAATCATCTGAGGGAAGAACCATCCCACGGTTTACGTAACGTGTCAAAAAAGCATTGTCAGACTTGTATTAGACAGTGTTGGTTAGTTCACTCCTTTAATGATTTCTAGTCCTAATAAAAAATGGATGAAAACTTTTTCGTGCTTATAAACAGAGACCTGAAAGGATATAGCTCAGCTAAAGTCACCAGGGCTTTATTTTTCCATCACTATACCTCTGTTGTTTGCACCAAATATCTCTCCCATGGAAAATTTGATCCATCCTCCTGTCCTAAATGAAAATGCTCTCATCCATCCACATTAACATTGTGCTTCTTGACAGACGCGACAAGCCCGGTCTACCGTGATACATTACAACACTACAACGGCTGACTTGTTGCCTTCCTGCTTCTCTTTGTATGGTTTTTTTTTACAACATGGGTGCTCGATCAAACAGCATGACACTCAAATTACCTTCTGGCCCTGAACGTTCACCTTAATTATTTACCATTTTAATTTACTCAAACATACATTTTGTGTCAAATTTCAGCTTTGGTGTCAAGAGTTTTCATACTGCTTTCGTTTGAGTGGCAACTTGGTTGACAAATGGCGTAATAAATCCTTCATAGTGAATGTACTGGAGGCTGGAGACGGATTTTCCCAGGGTCACTGAAGGCGTTTCAGAGATGGTATTTATCACAAGCAGCGCAGCTAACTGTGGTAGTTCATATGATTAAAAATATGTGCATGAAATCAAGTTAATTTCAGCGCAATAATACTTTGTATGGTTTTATGTCTGATATTCAATAATAAAAAAAAGTCAGCTATCTTTCTGATGAAGTAAAAGGAGGTAATTAAATTAATAAATCCCAAAAAATCCAAACATACGTTTAGTATGTGAAATAAATAAATAAAGCCAGCTAAGTAAAATAAAACAAATGCATCAACAATAATAATAATTAATTAATTAAAAAATAACTAAATAAAAAATAGATAAAGAACAGTTAGAACCAAAATCCTCTAAAAATAATAAATAAGACATTTAAACCAGATGTAAATAACTGAATAAAACAAACAAAAAAATGTATGCATATTTAGTTTATTAACTAACTAATCAAAGCAGACCAACACTAATACGTATTGAAAGAAATGGAAAACAAATTGTCCTCCTGCACCTTTTTTGCGCTCTCTGTGCAACAACCAGGTTCGTTTCACCAGTTACCAGTAAAGCTCCTCAGAGTTTTACCCTGAGATAATGACATTTGTAAAGTTTAAAACAGGATTTAATGCCAAAAAAATAAATAAAATAAAATAAAATATATACATATTTTTTTAAATGATCGAATGTTACAAAATAAGTGGATACAGAGTGACTTTCACCGTCTGGTCGCAGGGTCACACTTACCACACCTTAAAGATGCAACCAAGAGAGGCGAGTTCTGAAGTCATCAGCTTCATTTTGTGTGGCTGTCGCCAGTCTTATGTGCTATGGTTATGTAAGCAGCAGCAGCAGCAGCAAGTGTGCATATGATCATTTGAGGAGAGACAGAATCATTTCATCCATAACAAAAGATTTTATGGCGATGGATTGTTGGAACTTGTCTAAAAGATTTACTTGATTGACTTGCAGTAACCCCAGTGCTCCTCGTCTGTTCCACGTTGAAGTCTGCCGCTGTTAGTTAGCCCTTCAAATTAAAAGCGCTTTTTTCTCATAATGGAAATGTTATCTCTGGAACATAGTGACATAAAAAAAACAAACAACAACAACAACAACAACAACAAAAAAACGACAACGCAATTTCTTCATAGAGTTTTCAAGATTATGGTCCATGGAGAAATTCCACCATGGTTTTCCAGTAAGCATTTAATGCTGACTTTAATTGGAGCCCTTCAATATTATTAAACTTTAAAATTTAGAATATTTAAGGATCTTCATGAATCTTTGCATAATTAAAGAAAAAGAAATCAAGTTTATATCCCTGTTTCAAAGTAGGCTAAAGCACTTTGCATATAATTTTCGCTTTTAGTGAAAATTGCATCATGTTGAGCAGATTTTCTCTTAAACTCGTATACTTAAAAAAACCCGTTTATAATCGATTTCAATAACAGTATGTTAACTTCACTTAATTGCCAGGGGTTGCTTGTAAAAGCAGCGCACTGCACTTTATTTTGTCATCCCCAAACCGGAAGTGTCGTTATCAGCTGGGCCAACTTGGCAACAGCCTGAACTTCTAGTGAAATGTTCGGAGACGACACGAGAAACAAAGTAGAGGTTCGAGACAGTACATTTAATTAATGTCATTTTTTAATTATTATTTTATTATTACTAACGAAGCCAATTAGTGTATTTTTTTAATATTTATTTATTTATTTAATTTGACCTGGATTTGTTTCGTTTCTTAGTTTGTCAGCTAACATCCAATCCAGGAAGATAAATCTAATCCCTGTGTGTGTGTGCGCTCGCGCGCGCGCGTGCGTTAATCCTTTCACACTTAGTGCTGCACAACAGTTGGAGGAAGTCCAACAGGAGGAGTGTCTATAATCTTATCGGCCGTGAAGTTAAATACATTGAGGTTCCGGGTAAATGAGTAACAACACGGAGGCTCCTCTCTCTCAACCAGCTGGGACTCTTGAAGATTCACAAAGACACTGAACTTCCCGTGGAAGTATGTATGCGGCGCAAACTCAGGCGGAAGCACGAAGTTTGAAAGTAGCCTCAGTTCGGCAGAGCAACTTCCCCAGAGTCCCACGGGCTTGAAGGGGGCATGAAACCCGACAGAACTTTACTCCTCGCAGAGAAGCCACACCATGGCGTCGTGCGGAAGAAAGAGTCGAACCAAGTTAGTTCTTTGCCTCTTAGGCGTCACTTTGTTGGGGTATCTGATATTTTTCAAACACCCATCCGGGCACGTCGGCGCTGCAAACCGACGCGAAGTCTCCGCAGAGGGAGAGGAGGAGAACGAGCGGCTGAGGAGGCCCGTTTACGAGAAGCCCCCGCTGGATTTGAAAGCCCCGGGTGAAATGGGAAGAGCTGTTAAGCTGAATTTGAACAAAGAGGAGAGAATGAAAGAGGAGGAGAGCATCCAGAAACACCAGATCAACGCCTATGTCAGTGACAGGATCTCTGCACCGCAGTCTGCCAGAGAGATGGAGTCCACTGTAAGTGTCACCCAGAGCACTTCATCCCTCTGAGAGTTGAGAGTGCGTCCTCAGAGTATGGATACCTACCTGTCATTTGACTTTGACTACACTCTTAAGGGCAGGTCGTGGTGGGAACGAATCTAGTTTTTTTTTAATATTGAGTTTTAACAGCTGAAATGTTTCATCACGCAAAATTCTACTTTTAAGTATTTTTAATAAGATGTACCAATGCCTACTCCAGGAGCATGAAAAGAGAAAGCCAGTGCATGAAAGAAAGCTTCAAGTATTTTCCTCTTATCGGCTTCTTATGGCCGACAAGGAGACAAAAACTGAATTTTGGGAATATTTTGAAACTAAAATGGAAAAAAAACTAAAGAAGCCCGGTTCTTTATTATGTAGAAAAACATTGTTATTTATTTATCCTGGGGGAAATTTGTGTATCCAGAAGCCCAAAAATATCAACAAAAGCATACATAAATGCATGCATCAAGCATTAACACAAATTTATTTTAATTGAAGTTATACACCAATATCCAGGATGTTATTTTATTCAGAGGAGGAATAATAACTTTCTTGTTTTACATTGAAAAAAAAAATATATTCTACAATTGGCATAAAGTATTAAACTTTTACTCAATGTTTATATTATATATATGTAGATAGATCAATAGATACATAAATGGATAAATAGTGCGATCGGTAATCATGTGCTACTGTTAGTGATCAAGAACACTCTGCTGGCGGATGTTTCATGTAACATGGAGCAGAAAGCTGACTTTATTTCTCCCTACATCTAGTCGGTGGCGCAGGTTGCTACAACCGGTAGTAGCCACACAGGCACACCTGCTAGAAGGAAACAAACGCACCCAGTAAACACTTTCATTCTATCAGCTGAGATGTTGCCAGGCGACTGTGCCAAAAGGCAGTTTCCTGTTCCGTAAGCGAGCAGAGAGTCCGAGCAGAGACTAAGTGTAAGCGGGAGGAGAAGTTTTGAGTACCAGTATTACAAGTTTTGAGGAGGACGACATAAAGACCTGCTTTTGAAATGAAAATGTAAAAAGTATTAAAAGTTTTAAGAACAAAAGACATAAAATCCTGTTTTGAGACTGAAGATATGTGTTCTTGAATTATGGCAGAAAAATTCCATCATGTCCATCGTGCATTTCAGTTGCAAAGAGCTCAAGTACGACTACAAGTCTCTGCCTACGACCACTGTGGTGATTGCTTTCTACAATGAGGCCTGGTCTACCCTGCTGAGGACGGTCCACAGCGTGCTGGAGACTTCTCCTGACATCCTCCTCAGAGAGGTGGTGCTGGTGGATGACTACAGTGACAGAGGTAGGCGATGGGACGCTTGATGGACAGGCAGCAGGGCTGCAGGTCTAAAAAGCCAGCAGATTGACAGTTACAGGAGATTGAAAGCTTGTTATTGGTGCTCATATTGAAGCACACGGACGGAGCGCAATCAATGGATTGCCAAATGAGCTGTGACTGAAAGGGTGCGAAATAGCAGAGTCAGATAGATACACACGAAGCAAAAGGTTTTGTAAGGGACAACTTTATAAGCGTTTTCTAGCCATGTATTTAACAGAAGAATAAAAAGTGCTGAGGCATGCTTACAAATGAACAAAAGGCGAATAAAGTCATAACGACATCTGTGTTTCTAGGTGCAGCCATTTTCTAAAATATTGATCCCCAGGACTTTAGCTCTTCAAGGTGGTTTCCAAACATTTAGAATCATGAGCCTGTAGGTGAAACAGTCAGTCCCTGCCTCACCCTCTGCTCTAACACCATTTCCACATGTTAAGTCATAAAGATGCACTGTATTTTACTAATGTGTGTTAGGGAGCTAAAGGCATTGATCCTTCGTAAACAAATTTTGGGATAAAAAACAATTTCCGCTGCACATCAACCTCATGCCAAGTTTTACATCACTCATACATTTAGGCAGAGTGTAATATTTGCAAGTCATTAAATATTATAGTGAAGTTAAATATTACATAGTAGGGCAATACAAATTCTTTTTTTCATCTTCTTCTGTGAGCTAATGCAGGAGTTTCAAAGTCATCAGACATTAAAAGGACTTGGCGTTTACACAGACAGACAAATTTCTGCAGGTTTGTGTTTCGCAACTGAAAGACTGGGGAATCACACACTTAACAACTGTGGAGGAATCACAGATTGAAGGATTTCTCAACCACCAAAGGCAAATGAAAGCCTCAGACTTACCAATAGTTGGTGGTAATAGAAGATATTTTCCGAATTCGGACAGACTGTGTTTCTACACCACTCTCCTCCCATTTAATGAAAGAGATGCAACGTATAACACTGAGTTCATCCCGCAAGTGAATATAAACAGAGACTTTTAACAACATATATACCACTCAGTCCAACAAATTGAAAACATTAGTTTGTATCCCTTTAATTAGCCTTCCTTCCAGTAATGAGATAGTTCGGGTCAGGATGCCTCCTGGATGCCTCCCTGGTGAGGTGTTCCAGGCACGTCCTACAGGCAGGAGACTTCGGGGAAGACCTAGGACACGCTGGAGGGACTATGTTTCTCAGCTGGTCTGGGAACGCCTTGAGATTCCCCTGGAGGGGCTGGAACAAGTGGTTGGTGAGAGGGAAGTCTGGGCCTCCCTTCTTAAGCTGCTGCCCCACAACCTGACCCCGGATAAAAGAAAAAAGATGGATGGATGGATAAATAAATGAAATAATTATTGTGTGACATAAAACACAGCAGGAAGTATTATACAAAACATAATTTTTAATCAAGATGACAAAAGTAGCATAAAATCACATTGCTTCTAACATGGGTCCAAAAAGACCCACTCATGGAAGACTTTATAGTCAATATGTCATGCATCAGAGGGTTAAGAGCTCACTTTTACTTGAATTTCTTGAAGATCACCTAAAGGAGCCACTGGAGAAGTACCTCTCAGGGTTGAAGAAGGTGCGTTTGATCCGGGCCACAAAGAGGGAGGGGCTGGTCCGAGCCCGGCTGCTAGGGGCATTCATTGCCAAAGGCGATGTGCTGACTTTTCTGGATTGCCACTGTGAGTGCCACGAGGGCTGGCTCGAGCCGCTGCTCAAGAGGTGAGAAATTGCTTTTCAGGAAACTGTAGCACTCTTCAGTTTGAGTATTTCACTCCAGTGTTGACTTTAAAGATCATGTTTTCAAGTTCAGCTGTCGCCAAGCGTTGCATAGACGTGCATCGCAAATAAGCGAAGGCTATGAATGTTGAAGTGTTTCAGTATTTGCATATATGTGCAAGTAAATAATAAAGAAGGAAGCAAAGAAAATCAGACCGATGTTTTCAGAAGCACAATTATGCAGTGCCTCGCAGATGCGTTCACACACCTTGAACGCGTTTTCCATTTTGTCACATTACAAAAACAAATTTGTGCAGTTGTAGCTGGACAACTACGCCACTTCTCTTGGCCCACTGTGGTTTAATTTGTAATTTTAAAACCGATCTGATGGAAAGCTGGAAAGGACTCTTGATGTGTGCAAGATGTAAAAAAAAAAACAACAACAAAAACAACAACAACAAAAAAAGTCAGTATTCCATAGTTTCTAAGTATTAAGAGTTTTCTGTTCTGGAAAAAAAAAATTTCTGGATTTTAAGTTCCTTTTAATTCCTTTCTGGGCTGCAACAATAGGAGTCTCTGCATAACAGTCCAAAAATTAATCTAAGAAGTATATTGGTTCAAATAGTGAGTATTCCACAATTTATGAAATTACTAATACACTAGGATAATCTAAGAAGTATAGTATCAGCCCAAATAATGAGTATTTGGATTCTAAGTTCGTTCTAGTTTTTTCTTTTTCTGGGTTAAACAGTGAGTACTCCACAGTTTCTGACAAGTAATGAATGGACTTGACAAAGTGACAGGCAAGGAAAGATGGCACAAGAAGCAACATTGGAGACATGGCTGTGTGTTTTTAGTTTTTTGGGAATTTTTCTCTCAGAAGCAGCCGGGGACTGACGCACCGGAAAAACTGATAGAGTTTCTTCTCCCAGAGCTACAACGATACAACTGACCAACTGATGCTACTTCCGCTACAAGACAAGTTCAATAAAAAAAACTGACGATTTGTGCTCAGCTGCAGAAGTTTTACAGAATCTGAGCTACATTTGTTTTGCAGCCGAAGAAGAGTCAGTTGGTCAGTTGTAACGTTGTAGCTCTGGGAGAAGAAACTTTCTAAAGGTTTTTCTGTGCATCAGGGCCCGGCTGATTTTGAGGGAACAATTCTCAGATAAAAGAAAAATTCCCCCATAAGGCAGACTTAAAATTTCTATCAGCCCTAAAGTCTCAACCGATACATCTCTTATTTACAATCATCCAAACTATTGTGGTTGTTCCCTTTGGGCCGAAAACTAGCAACTTCTCCAAGATCAATTCCATTCCCCTAGTGAGTTTTAGCATCCAAAGTTTGCTTGTGAAATAATCTCATACAACTTGTGCCTCTGTCTCACACCATCAGTCTGAGTGTTCACTAGTTCGGCTCAGTCCATCAGAACTTTGTCGATATGCCAGGGATCCACAAGCTCCAGAGAAAAACGTGTCTGCCTTCACTGAGAAGATAAAGGGTTCCTGAAACACTTGGAAACTGAACAGCTTTGCACCAATCTGATGGTGGAATAACCTGAGTATCAGATCAAAATCAATCAATATTTCTATTGTTGAGCTCACATGCCTATTTAGATACGTGCTTTTTGATTAAAACATAATGAATTGCTGTTAATTAATTACTGACCCTAAAATTAACTCAGTTTAAAATTTTAATCATGTCCCACCACTAATATTTTGACATTTGCATGCTTGCTGTATATGTTGCCTGCAGAAGCTAACAACAGAAGCCGCTTGGTTTCTATCTGATGGATGCTCCGCTTTGTCCAATTGGTCAATTTAGGTGGACAGGCATGTGTTGCAGGTTTCATTGTTGCCACTTGGTGTCTTTCAAGATAACCTTCCTCTGCTTTAGACTTCTGCCAAACTTTCCTGATCTGTCTGCTGTGTCCCTCCATCTTCATGATGTCAATTCCCCTCTAATGTCGTGACAGGACAGCTGTATTTGTACTGAAGTTAAACTTTTTACAGATGGACTCTGTTTAATAATTTTGTGATTTCTAAAGAAAACTGGTAGCTTTGGATTTTATTCTAGGGAATGGAAAAGGGTGAATTAGTTTTCGGGGCTCCGTACTCAGCTGCATTTTGATCAACTGCAGTACAGGAAGTTAACACATATATTAAGTTTTACATTCTTCTTTTTGACTTTAGCTTTTCTCTCCTTTCTCCAGGATCAAAGAGGAGCCCAAAGCCGGTGTGCCCCGTCATTGACGTGATCGACTGGAACACCTTCCAGTATTTAGGCAACTCCGGCGAACCTCAGATTGGTGGTTTTGACTGGCGGCTGGTTTTTACATGGCACACAGTCCCAGAATATGAACAGAAACGCCGTAACTCGCCCACTGACGTCATCAGGTACTAGTTACAAAAAAAAAAAAAAAAAAAAAAACTTCTGTGAGCAAAACAAGATCACAGATTTTTATTCAAGATATTGTATCAATTCCACCCATATCTTCAGATGACTTTTTTTATGTATTATCAAATAAGAGATGGATAGTGACACCAAGATTAACTTCTGTTTTTTTGGGTTTTTTTTTTTAGATCTCCCACTATGGCAGGCGGTCTGTTTTCTGTGAGCAAAAGTTACTTCCATTACCTGGGGACATACGACACAGGAATGGAGGTTTGGGGAGGAGAAAACCTGGAGTTTTCTTTCAGAGTAAGAAGTAATCTAGTGCATATCGTCATTTTCTCATACATTATACGAATGCATACTGCTCAGTTGAATTATAATTTTGTACTTGTAGAGTTTGCAAAATGCTAACACTGTTTACAGCAGTAATTCACAACATGCAGCACTGAACAGACATTTGGAGCTGGATTAAATTAACTGTAAACCATGTGACAAATTCTTCTGCAAACCACAGTGATCACATTGACACTACATTACAAGAGAAAACAGAGTGAAAACCTTAAATGATTTGATTGCTGTGAAGAATTTGAACATTTCTTTCCTGGAGTAAATACAACATCCCAAAAGAGTAGTAACCAAAAATATGTCTCTGTAGTGGCAACAATCTTTTGTATCCAAGCTCCTCCACAGCATTTGCCCTTTGCGTAGCCTGATTGATTCACAGCAGAGAGGCTAACCAAATCCTCGTGGTGCTGCGGTTCTCGTCTCTTAGATTTGGCAATGCGGGGGTAGCCTGGAGATCCACCCGTGCTCCCACGTGGGTCATGTGTTCCCCAAAAAGGCCCCTTACTCACGGAGCAAAGCGTTGGCAAACAGCGTGAGGGCGGCAGAGGTGTGGATGGATGAGTACAAGGAGCTCTTTTACCATCGCAACCCCCATGCTCGACGGGTGAGTCCACACAAGTTGTAAGAGGGTGTTTGATGGGTGTCAAATAGCCGATGTCGCTCTTTAAAAAGGAATTGAGTCACATTTAGATGGGATTAATTGTCCACTTCCGAAAGTTGCATACTTGTTTTTTTTTTTTTCTTTTTCTGCCTGTCGTTTACTGCATCGATATGCGGAGGCAGTAAATGACACCCATGCCTGTGTCATTTTCCCTCATACTACTACACATGAACAAGCACGGCCGCTCCCCCACTGTGGTGTAAAAAGCTGCTCCTGATTAAGTGACTCTCAGGATACATGAGCGACACACACTCAAGGTGACAGGAGTGCCGGGGCATTCCGGTGTGTGATTACCACCTTTTCCGTGTCACTCTGTGCCAGCGGGTGTCACCCACCTGTCCTTGACAGGGTGATATCAGTGCTAACCTGTGGGGTGCCTTGTCTTAATGTGTGTGTGTGTGTGTGTGTGTGTGTGTGTGTGTGTGTGTGTGTGGTGTGTGTGTGTGTGTGTGTGTGTGTGTGTGTGTGGAGTGTGTGACAGTGTAGTTAAGAGGAGAAGCTCTCGAAGCACAGATCAGGTGGCGCTCATCTCCCTGAGAGGAGGAAGCCTTGCTGAAAGGGAATATTGCTCAAAGCAAGCAATGCTGCGTTACTTTTCACTATGAATGAAGGCAATGGGTTTGTGCATTTTAACGTTTTAAACCTTCTATGAATGATTTGTCATAACTTAAAGCATAAATAGATGTGATGTAACTAAGATGCAGCTATGCTTTGCTTTTTCATACCACAAAAAAATAGAATATATATTTCTTTCAGCAAAAATAATTTTAAAATAGGTGATTGCTTTAAATACAACTCCATGAACAAAAAAATAAAAGTCCAGAGTACTTTGAGTTCTACATTTTCGAATGGAAAATCATTAATTTCCCCAGCTTGTTATCCAAGTCCTGATACTGCATTAAAATTAAGTAAAACAATACCTTGTGCTTGAAAACTTAGTAGCTTTACCTGCCATTAAAAATGCAGCGAACAAGACCCAGATCCAATATCAGGGTTCAGATCAGGACTTCTGTCAGAAATACAGATGCTGCATGTTGTCTTAAAGCCTTATAGCCACTTTGAAACACGGTGGTTGCAGCATCATGCTGTGGGAATAGTTTTTTTTTTTTTGAGCAGGGATATAAAAGCTGGTCAGAGTTGTCTAAGGATTGCATCTTTAACTTTTTGCTACAATTGCAGTGAATGATGGTCTTACAAGGTATTTACTCGGGGGGAGCTGATTACAAAACTTGAAACATTTTTCACAGTTTTATTTGTAAATTTCAGAACACACTTTGTAGTTTTTCTTTTACAATTTAGCTCTACTTTGTGTTGGTCTATCACATAAAAATCCAAATTAAGACGCATCTATGTTTGTGCTTAAGGTACACACACACACAAAAAAAGAAAAATCAAAGTGTTTGCTTTTCCAACACAAATAAGAATATCAAGCACATCGTCAACGTATCGTTCCTTGTTGTCCCATCCCGGTCTCCTAAAGGGAAGAAGAGCGCTCGTTCCCTCAGACATGACTCTTGCACTGGGTCATTCCAGCTCCACCAGCCCTTGTTGTTCCCTTGTCTGTAGTGGTGCTAGCACTTGATAAAAGACCACCTCTTTTAGGAATCTGTCTCATGACTGGATAAACTAATAAAGAGCCAATTAGAGCTGTGTTTGGGACATGGCCAGCATCCATCATTCTGCGGTGCGCTTCTAGATTCTTCTTCCAGCAGTGAAGGTGTGGTGAGCATATGCTCACTGGCAAAGCACAAGTGTTTGTTTTCTTGTAATAATCAGCTAATCTTTATCAGAGTGGTGACGCCTGTTTGTTAAAGATATTTTCATAAGCAGATTGCTGTCGGCATGTAAAACAACATATACATCCTTCTGTTCTTTAACTAGAATTAAGGAGTGCCTTACTTGTGAAATATTTGATGATGTTGTGTGTGTGATTAATGTTGACATATTTAAAAATGGGCAGAGTTATGAAACAACTATAGAGGGTGCTGTTGTACATCCTTTCACATCAGGGCTAAGTTATGATGCAGCATCTGGGAGAGAAGGATGAACTCTGAATTTATCGAAGTTGTTTCCAATTAGGTCAGTTATGTTTTAATTTTTCTTTTTTTTTTTTCTAGGAAGCCTTTGGAGATGTGACAGAGAGGAGGAGACTGAGAGAGAAGCTGGGGTGCAAAAACTTTAAGTGGTATCTGGATAACGTCTACCCCGACATTTTTGTCCCACATGATCGACCGGGCATGTTTGGAATGGTTAGAACGCTTCTGAACGGACTACTGTACTGCCAAAAAATATTCAAAATCAGTGAATTTGCATGTTTCAATCACTTTCTTTGCTCCGTCAGTAAAGAAATCTTTCACCCACGCATGCAGACTGCCACTCAAATTCAAATTAAAGCAAATACTTTGGCAAAACTTTGCTTATAGGAATAAGAGAAATATTGAATTGTGTGTTTGAACCTTTGTAATATGCCTTTATGTGATTTTTTTTTTTTTTTTTAGCTGAAGAGTCGAGGAAAGACCAACTACTGTTTTGACTACAATCCTGGGGATGACCAGGTGCTGGAAGGTCATAGGGTCATCCTCTATCCATGTCACGGCATGGGTCAGAACCAGGTAAGCCCTGTCAGACAGTTTAGCGATACGAAAAACTCTTCTGGCTCTTCATGGCCCCCAATGTAGTTTATCTTACTTTGTAGTGTAGCCCTAGGCTCATTTACATTTTGTGTCATAGTTAGAAAAATTGCAGACAGCAATACACTCCCATTACACTGATCTTATAAAGAGATGTGTTCTCTCTAATTTTTCTTTTTAAAACAAATGTCAAAGTCAGTCAAAATCAAACACAAACATAATCTTCAGGTCAGCCAGGCTAATCCTGATCTTCTGCACAGATGTGGTTGTTTAATCTTAATCATTTGGAGACATAACTGCTTATGCCGAGTGAACAGTTATCCAGAGCCTGTCTTTTATAAACCACTGATTTAGTTTATGTCTTTTACTCTACAACTTTTTAAAGATGTATTTCTACTTAAATCATGACTTTGTAATCTCAGTGTTGTCTCAATGTTCTTATGTTTCTAGTTCTTGTAGCTCAAAACTATTTACTCACCAGCTCTTTGTTTAGTAACCGTTTTCTGTCCTCTGAACCTTGAAACAGTCACTCCCTCCTCATTTCTTACATTTATTAACAATGGACTTACCCTTTCCAGGTTCTATAATACATCCACAGTGTTGGTCTATAGAGGGATTCTGCCCATTTCTCAGTTCTATTTCCTCTGTTAGTTGTCAGTAAACCAGGGAGCTCTGTGAGATTTAGCAGTGCTGCTGAAACACCCCTCTGGACACGCGCTGATGTCATTTTTGTTGAAAATGATTTCTGTAGTTGTTGGATTGTCAGCCTTTGAGATTGCCCTGCATCGCTCCATTCTACATTGACAGTCTGTAACCAGTGATGCTTGTTTTTGATCTCCACAAACGACACAGGCAAATTCTGTTGCACAATGGTTTTTTCTAACCGCTTCTTTGTTTGTGTCTTGCATCCATGATGGGTTCTCCCAACAGTTTTTGAATATTCAGTCAATGGGGAAATATGCTACAATACCAGAGATCCTGCTGGATGTGTTGTGCATGACAGCATCAGCACTTACCTGACTGTCCTACAGTGCGAGAAACGAGGACGACCTGTTCCCATGGACCAGAAATTTATCTTTCGAAAGGTACTGCAAAATCATCTTGAGGCCACATTTATTTCCACTTTGTGTGTCTGTAGCTTTTAACTAAAAAAATAAATGTGTAAAAGTTTTTTTTAGGTTTCATGATTATCAAATAATGCTAGTAGTCTGTTCTGCTTAGAAAAGTTTTATTAATATTTTGTCATGCTACAGCTTGACATATATTTTATTTATCAGCATAATTACACAGTGTTAGGCCCTCTTACCCCATATAAAGTCTGTTTATTGAGAATGGTTCACCTGTGAGTATTTTACTCTCAGTATAAGTCAGCTATTTAGTGAAGGCCTCAGGTTTATTAGAGAACATCGGTGAACAAATAGCATAATAAACAAGCCAGAAAGGTCAGGGATAAAATTATAGTGACATTTAAAGCAGGGGTACGTTATAAAACCAATCCATTGGCTGAAAATGGGCAGAGCGTGACACAACTCTGCCCATTTTGTGCCACAATCCAAAGTTTGTGGCACAACTTCGCCTCCTTCCAAGTTGACTAGAAAGGGATACGGATCTGTAAATATGAGGACGCCAGCAACATTTGACATGTGGAGGATCAACATTAATTTAAAGATGTATCTCAAAACTTTGAAACTCTCTGTCCAATCAGACAAAGATCTCTTGATGAACACAACTGGTAGAGATATATCTCTGAAAAGATTTTCAAATGTTCATAATCAAAGGTCAATCTGTACAGCATTGACTCACTAGGAGCAGAATACAGACATATATCCACTTTTCAGATTTCTGAAGGAACAATTAAAAAGTCTCATTATCCTTTTAGTTATGCACTGCAGCTGTGTATTTACCACACATTGCTGTTCAGCATGTGCTGAATGTAGTTTCAGGATGTCAGTGTCTGACAGCCTGCCATGCCATCTAAATGTAAATGGATCTGAAAAGATGAAATGTATGTTGGAAGAGTGAAAGATGCTGGAAAGTGGGATAGTATTGGGAGAGACCATGATATATCCCAGGAAAAGGATGCTGGATTTGCATTTCACTTGGCCAGCTTGTGTTGTTCTCTGTTGTTGTTCAGTGTTTTTCGCATAGACCAGAGGTTCACATTGTAACTACATTTTTGCCACATGAGTAATTTACAAAACCTTGTGTTGTAGATATAAATGAGTTTCCTGTTTACAGAAAGTTTTTTTTCTTTCTTTTTCCCCACATGGTGGTTTCTAGGATGGGACTCTGCTCCATGTCCAGACCCAGAAGTGCATTGAAGCAATGGACCAGACCGACGATGGGACACCAGCCCCGGCTCTGCAGCCCTGCTCTGACATCCTTCGCCAGAAGTGGTTTTTTGAGGAGAAGCTGTAAACACTTTGTATATATGGAGCATCTCACCTGCTGAGGATTCCTCTCTGATCCCCCTTCCTAATCAAACAACTTAATCTTCCATGCAATTGCAACAAAGTTCATATTTTCTCATGCATGCAGTGCACAAAACTGACAATAGGAATTATGACGATTTTTCAAAGTGGGCCAGACTTGGTCTAAGACTAAGTGATGATCTAAATTGCATATGGTGGCATTCTGTCCATTTTATTGCTGTTGCAGAGACTCTTTCAGCTTCCTGTGCAGAAATAAGGACGCCGAAACTTGTGCATCAATCCGACGGAAATTATGCATTTATAAATCTGCCAAAAGAGCTTTTTAAATGGCTGGCTGATATTTTTTTCTGAGCACATCATGAGGGCCTCTTTCTTGATATTTGGATTTTCTCCTGTAGAGGGGGCTAACACTCCTCTCTGTGTTTGATCCTTTCTGTCAGTGTGTCCTCGCTTCATCATGTGCCAGTAAGGACAAATGATTGGGTGTTTTAATAGGAACCTTTTGAAAAGGTTGACTGCTTGATGCTTCTTTATAGCAGAAACTTAAAAGCAAAGTCATAGATCGCAGGTGTTATGCGATCCTAACCATAACGCATTACTACTGAAAACATGGAAAACCACTCTGTTACTCGGCTTTGATGTCACATTTCACATGAAGTGAAATGTCCTGGGTCATTTTTGAACAGTCCCACTCAAAAGTTTTCATACACTCATCATTCACATTAAATGCCATTTATCCTTTTATTTAAACTGTTGTTTTACCAGGGCTGTGACCTGCAACTTTGCCAATTTGAAAACACAAGAGTCAGACTTTGAATTTATTTTAGATTTTCCCTTTTCCAGTCGAAACACAGGCTCAAATTTATACATTCTGCTCTATTAATATTTGAGTAAATGTCCCTTAGCAGGTTGCAGACAAACATTGTAATTCTTTGTTGCCCCTGATGAGATTCAGGTATTGGACTACTTCTTTCATTAAAAATTATGGAGCTCATTTAAGTTGCTTGCTTTCCTGGCATGAACTTAGCTTTTAATCATAGTTTATAAATTTTCAAAACAGTTGAGTTTAAGGCCATAGAAGAAGCGTAACAGTCACAAGTTTATGCCCTCTCAAACCAGTTTTGATGTGTGTTGAGAATCTTTTCCTGTTGGAATTACTGTGTCTTAGATTTTAGATTTATATATCTGTCATCTGCACAATAACAACGCAGTAGTGAAATGTGTTGTGGTGCCTGGAGCCAAAGAAAAAGACAAAACAGCAAAGGAAAGCAGGAGTTCACACAGAACAGCACTTAGTGCTGCCACTATTTTTGGCGTTAATTTAGGTTCGATCTTATTTTACTTCTCTAAACTTTC